CGAGCTTCAGAGAAGGGGAAAAGCTGTGAAAAAACAGGCCCGATACTGAGCACCTGTATTGGTGACCTGGCTCTGGGCTCAGGGCTGCTCTCCTACAAAGCCGTCCAGTCGTCAGGTCCAGGGGTTCTTAATGTTCAAAACACACCTGATGACCCAGCTGAAGCAGGTAGTATGAAGCCAGACAGAAATGAACTTTAGCGCTCATTTAGTAATTTTACAGAGAGATGAAATTCTGAAGTTATTGAAGTCCCAATTCTGCATTTTGCCAACAAAATTCTCCTTGATGCTATTCAGCACACACGCTGGAGCTCTTTGTATTTCTTAAGAGGCAGAGATCATTTCCTGATGAAGTGAATACTATGAACTCTAAGGGTGAGTATTTTAAAACCCAAGGATGTATTAAGAGCTGTAACTGAAAGAAGGTTTTCTCACTCAAGTCTCGGGCAAGGCTGAAGGAAGAACCCTCTCCAGCTGAAAAGTAATTTTCAGGATGAAGTCAGGGGCTGTTGTTATTTGTAAGTGAGAAAGGAACAAAAACCTGATGCCAAGTGGTAGAGCAAGAGGGTGCTTTCAAGGAGACTGCAAACTGGGGAACGGAAGACGGGACCTTGCACTGTTAGCTGGCAGCAGTTCAGCTCCAGGTTACTAAGTCTGGAATGCTTAAAAAATTCTCCATTTCTGGTCTCAGTTCTTATCTTAGTGAGTAGGTGCCCACGTCTTGAACCAACTGGTATTCATACAAGCTTCAGGATATCTGTAAGGAGACTGACCAGCCACAGCTGATCTGAGAACAAAATGTTAAAAAAATCGAAGTGATCTGGAGAAGAGGGATGACAATACACAATCTCCTGCACTTACTGAATTGTGTTAGCACTTCCTGTTCAGTAAAATACATCTGAATTGCATAAAAGCAAGCTTGTTTCAGTGCATACTTTATTGAATTAATTTAAGAAAACTGTTAGGAATTCCTAATGCTATTTTTAACAAGCAAAAGTCAAAGTGCATGGAGGGGAAGAATACACGCCCACACTAAGGAAGAAAGGGAACAATCCCTAGCACAAGAACATCCCGCAGTACAACTACACCTACTGGCCCCTTGGTGTAAGTGGTTCAGTCTATTTCCAGATCACTGTCTTCGCTGTAACATGCAGATGGATTATGTATAGAATTCAGGAGCACTAGGTCTTTTTCCGGAAGCAAACCACATTCCTGCAGAAAAGCCTCCAGGTCTACAGCAAAAAAATCTTCTCCAAGCTGGTCAGTGATTCGCACAAAATTGCCAATGAGCTCACCTGCCTTATAGATCAGCAAAGCTGGCAGAGCATTATTAGTAAAGCGAGTGCTAGCACCAATGAGCGAACTCTTTACTCTGCAAAATTTAACTGTTGGATACTCCGCAGCCAGGCAGATCATACAGCCGTTCAGGGATTCAGTGCCAGGGATATCATCTTCGTAAATATGGATCATGATCAGCGTGCTCTTATGCTCTTTATCAACTGTGTCCAAAAACGCTTCTCCACTGGTAATCTCAAAAACCTGTTTAAATTGCTGCCCGCTGTACAGTTGCTGCCTCATCTCTTCCATTCGCTGCTTCCTGTATCGCTGTAAAAATTCCTCATCATCCTCATCACTGTGCATCATGTTATATTCTTGCAACGTCATCTAAAAAACACGCACAAAGACACATGAAAAAAAGATCTGCATCACCATATGGGTCACTTATATAATGAGAATTTAAATCAAGAGGATTAATGTGGGTCACTCATCTTTAATAACAGCAAAGTGCAACCCAGGAAGGCTCAAGCACGCTCTGTATTACACTCCATTTTGATCTAATTAGAAACCATGTCCAGTGGGAACGGCGATTTCAGCCTTGGGTATTCTAGTTTCCACAAGCTGCACTAATAACACAAGTGGCTGCTCCACGCTCCCACTTTAATTCAGGTTAATGGCGGCTATGCGCCACGAGCAGTGATTTGGATACCATGCCTGACCTAAGCCTAGCTTCTTTTTCAGCAGCTTTTTCGTTGAGTTTTTCAGCTAGCATTTTGCGGCAACCAAATGTGCTATCTTGTCTGTAGAACTAAAATGATCAGGATTTTCTGTGTTTCGTACCTGTTCACTTGCTTCGTTAAACGTATTTGCATCGCTCTAGGTATAGGACAGTGCGGCCAACTTTCATCATCTGAAAGCAAGACACACTGTCTGCTAATTAGTAACTTCTCTGACTAGAACTGTAAGAGACAGTTACACAGCCCAGCTGCTTAAAACCATTCACTGCTTCCAACGCCTTCTATCTTTGGAGCTGAAAGTCAAAGCTAAATTCTCAACATCCACTTACTAAACACGAAATCAGTATGAACCCCTGCACTCTTGTTTCAGGCAAGGGGAGCAGCATTCAGAGGTTTGCTGTACAACTCTTCCTATTGCTCCCCTGAAGTGGACTTATTTGGGAAACAGGTAAGGGAAATGTGGGAAAAGGATTTGGACTTCTTCGGTGTAGCAGCTAAATTGCTTATTTCTTAACACAGGCAAACACAATGCTACTGGAATACCACTAAACTGCAAAAACACTAAACCTGACAACACCTGGCAAATACAGTTGCAATGCGCCCCTTATACAGCTGCTGTGTTCCGATTTCCTAGGGAGAAACGTCACACAGCTACTGATAGAACAAGGATTCCTATCTGCTTCACGTACACAAATGAGGAAACTGAAAATGTTAAACATTTAAGTGGCATTTTAATTCCTTTGTGCCATGCTACCTTTCCATTGATTTTATCCTGAAGCTCCTTCTGCTTCTGCTTATCAGTCTCTTCATCTAAGTGAGATCTGCATGTCATAGATAACTTCTTTATCAGCCGTTCCATTTCTCTGCGCTGCTCCTGCCGCTGTTCAGTTTCCAGCTGTTTAAATCTTCGCCAGTCATTAATGACTCCTTTGGGACCTGAAATTAAGTATGTGGGCATTTCGTATAAAAGGGTAATAAAATGACAGCTATCATTTAAAATTCAAGTAGCAATTTGTAAGTCAGCAGTAAAATAGCGTCCCTGTCATAAGCTTCTTGTATACCGTGCAAAATGCTGAAATGAAACAAAAGTAGCAGCTTGTCATTTACACGTCCTTGAGCTTGTATCTATTTTTTTTTCCCTAAGAAGATTAAAGTTTAGCTAATCAGGCTACTCTCATAATTGTCCCAAAGATTAACACCTGTGCTCCTGAAACAGAACCACCAGCCCTCACCAATTCCCCTACTGTTAGCATGGCTTTTCGTAAGAAGAAAAATAATGATGGGAAAGCGAAACTAAGTTTGCCAGTGCTCTTGTACAGAAGTTCCTTCTGTGAGGTACAGCAGTGTTAGTTCTCACAGACTGCACCTTGCGGTTACTGTGCTGCTGGGGCCCGCTGGAGTTACGTTTTCAGGTCCTCTCTAAGCGTACCAGTTTAGTACCACAATTCTTCCACTCTTCCTTTGGGTGAAAGATTAATGGTTAACAGTTGGACTTGATGATCTTAAAGGTCTTTTCCAGCCTAAATGATTCTATGATTCTATGTGAACGCATGCAGGAAGAAGACTTTTCCTCATTCTCATAGAGACCACAAAACAGAGGGACAGTCTTTCATAAGGACATAAGAAATCCCCTCTGGATCACACCAGCGACCCACACGAACTCATACTGTGTCTCTGACAGCGGCAGTAGAGAATGTTATTTTGGGAAAGCCTGGCCACTTTCTGTCTATTCCTCACGCGCTCGTTCAGCACCTGCTTGTTAGTGGTTAAAAACTGTGAGGTTATAGGAAAGAAACGTCTGTGTTATCGACCAAACTGTACAACTTGGCAAAGCCCAACTGCTTTAGATATGACGCTGAAGTCTCTCAGAGGAGAAGTCAAACATTAAAATAAAGAACTGGCTATTAAAAATAAGGTTAGACAACGGCCAGGAAATGATCGATCTCTGACTCAAATCTGCATAAAACCAGCACTTTCATTTCGAAAAATGAATTTTAGAAAAACCCAAGAGTCTTCCAATAAGCAAAGTATTTACAAAACAATTAGTCCGACGTGCCGATACCTGTGTTGACTGCGCTGCCATCGCTGCTGAGCTCTACTTCCCCAACGCTTTCGGGAATGGTGCTCTCCCCTTCTTTATCTTCTTTCTCGCTGTCTTCATCCTCTCCCTCACTACTGCTGTAATAATACTGGAGCTTCTCGCCAAGCAGTTTATCATCCAAAGTAGTCATTATGTTCTAGAAAAAATAAATGAACAAAATAGAGAATGTATGTCTTATTCAAATATGCAGTGTCAGACACCACTTCAAATGCGTAACGATGGTCCTTTAATTCCTCAGAGCAGTTTTTTAGCCACATAAGAACAGTTTACAGCCCGCCATCAGACAGCCCACGGTGCGGTCACTCACGTGAGTTAATTCTTACGTCACAATTTCAAACTCACTTCAGTTAAAAACCTTTACAGACAGAACTGTTTTGAGGCTCACTAGTGCAGAGACACTTTATGTGTGTTCTCATTCATGGAGAATGAATTTTCTAACCATGATTCAGGAGTCTTATCAGCCTCACTCAGCTCCACAAGGTTGATTTCCCAGTTATTGCAATTTATATAACCAGTATTATATGCATTATTCTAACAACGATTTATTTGAGCTGAAAAACAATCAATGTAATTAATCAAATTAAAACGTCCTGACCTTTATTCCGTTCCAGTCTTTCAGAGGCAAGCTTCTATCAAAACCTGGAAGAAATTTCAGATTATATTAATTCAAATCGTCAAAGACAATCTCAAAAAAAACTTTTGCAGAAAGCCAGCACATTTAAATAATATAACACATGCAAGGAAAAGTTTAAAGAAAATGTAACCATGTTTGCTGTTTAATAAAAAAGGTTACTCTTAAACACAGAAAGTGTACTTTCTCAGTATTGGGACAGAACATACAAATAGTGCAGTCAGTGCTACAATCTCATGACTGTCACTTCCAGGCTAAGAAACAGCACGAAAAGCAAGATCTTCATGTTTGTCATCTTTTCACCTGCCCACTGACCACATCAGCCACCTTCGCAGAAGTCAACAACATCCTGCTTGCATGGGCAATGCTGAAATTAGGTGCTGCTGCACTGACAGAATGATTGCAACTATCCTAAAAATCCTCATTCTTCTTGATTGAAACTGTTTTTTAACCCAAAATACCTTCTGCTAAATAGAAACGAACAGCAGCAGAACCCACCCTCTGAAGCTACTGAGAGCCAGCATTTACAGACTTTGAAAACCCCTCACAGCGGGGGAACAGAAAGATCAGGTGTTTGCAGATGATGGAAAGGTGAAGAACCATGGAGCACCTTCAGAGTTTGGGGCTTTCTCTCCACTGGCTTCTTCCACCACAATCCTCTAAAGGAGCTGCTGATCGGATCTCGTCCTGATGGAGATGCAAAATGCCCAAGAATTACTCTTCTTTGCTGGGTGAGGGGCAAAGGGTGTAGAAAGGAGTGCTGCCAAGCCCAGATACGTGGCTGCGGACCTGCGATGCACAAACTACGTCTAAACGATCACAAAAATTTCATTTTTTTTTTTTTAAAAAAAAGCAATTTCAAACAAATGAGCTGGTTCAGGCTGACAATTCTGTAGGACTCTGCAAGTCAGCGTACATTTGACAAAGACACCCCGAGCAACGTGTGGGCAAAGAAGGGATTTGAGCTTTCCTGTCCAACCGCCAGCAGGTTCTGCAAGAGTTAAACCCGGCCTAAGCAGATGAGGAGGCCCGGGATTACCGAGATTACTCCTCGGAGCCCCCACAGGGCGCTTTTCCGGCGCCGAGCCAGGGGAGCG